ACAGGGAGCCTCCTAGAGCCTGTCCAGATTTTTCTGTGCTGTCACTGAGGAAATAGTCTTAGCTGATTTGTACACTGAAGAAAGAATTACTTCAAATCAGTGTTCACTTTTACAAGGTGATTAATTTACTGGCTGAATAAGCTGAGCTATTGTTGTTGTTGTTGTTGTTAAGTGCCGTGGAGTCAGTTCCGACTCATAGCGACCCTGCACAGGGTTTCCAAGGCTGTAAATCTTTACGGGAGCAGAAAGCCTCATCTTTATCCTGCGGAACCGCTGGTAGTTTCGAACTGCTGACCTTGCGGTTCACAGCCCGATTCGTAACCACTACGCTACCAGAGCTCCTTGTTGATATTTTGATGTTTATCTTAAGGAATTTGACACAGAAAACTGTCTTGTTTGGGAAATATCATCGGGTCTTTAACGTTAATGCAGTACACTTTTTTTTTTCCTTTAGGACTCATGGATGCATTATAGCCAAGGTTTTAAGCAGAGATTCCCATTTAACATTCATGATTCTAAGTACTGTAAAGTTGGGTTAGTCATGACTACACTTACAGTGCTATTGACTTTTAGATCACTTAGGCTTTTTAAAATTTATTTATTGGTTTTCAAACATAATAACCAATTAAATCCTAATCTTATTATTTTAGGCTTCTTTGTGAATAAATGGTTGTCCATGTGTTAATTATTGTAATAACGCTCAGTATTTAGGACTATTTTTACATAGTCATAACAGCTAAATTCAGATCTTTTAAATGTAAGTATTGTTGTAGACTAAGACAGTATTAACTGTGGGGTTTTTTTGTTTGTATATTTGTTTTTTAAGGAGAAGGTGTTTTTTCAGATGAAATTTAAGGCTTAAATTTGTCACTGTTTTGCTTTCTAAGCAATATAGAGCAAGAATTCTTTTAGTGGAAAGTGTGTGCTATTTAGAATTTTTTAGTGACTTAATTAGCTCAACCAACTAGTAACTTTGATAGTATACGAGCTATAAATTTTTATATGAAAATGCTTTTCATAGATCTGACCCTTAATCTCTTTTCTATTCTCACTGTTCTTATTTGCTTGGGTGTGCTTCATAGATGTTCACACATATTCTAAAATATTTCATCAAAAGTCTTCTTTTAGTATCTGTCCATCAGGCAACAACTTGGGGAAGGGAATGCATTGATGAAAAAGTGAAGAAGGTTGTTTATATTTATTTTTTAAAGACCAACTTTAATGGCTGTTAGATGTAAGGACATTGCTAAGTGTTAAAGTCTTTAGCACAAAATGAGTTTAGTTTAGATGTATTGGCAATTAGGCAATTCTTTGTATTACATAGGATTTTCCAGGGTTCCTTAACCATGCAATTTAAAGTGTGTACATTATTAGTTAGTTCTGGTGAAGTCATAATGGGGTGGGAGCTGTGAAGAGAACAAGGCAGACGCATGCAAATGTCAGTGGAAAATGTTGGATCCCTTCCCTGGTATTCAAGATCATTTGAGATGAAAGTAAGCATTCTTGTGGGGGAAATAGTTGATTACCATACAATTTTTCAGGCACAGCATTCTAGATGTATACTTCTTCATAGAGAACTACAAATGCAGCTCCTCTGCTCAGATCAGATGTTCTTGCAGGAAACTAATAACTAACTTTGTGGTGGGTGGTAAGATAATAGATTCTGAGTCAATAGTAGAATTTCCGGAGACTTGATAATATAGAGTTGACTGTAAGGAGCCAACCAATACAATATGGTCAGATACCATTAAGGAGTATTATTAACAAAGTATAATGCTTGCAAACTTTCTTGTGGTCTGGACCTAAGGGAAGGAAGGAGTAAAATTGCATGCTTGAAAAGGTTTCGCAGTGTGGCTGAGACATTCTTGTAGCATTTCTGTGATATTCTAGAAATAGATCTAACACTGGTTACTCGCAATAGAACATTTGCCTTTGGGGGTAAGGAGCCCTGATGGTACAGTGGTTGAGCACTGGGCTGCTTGTTGAAGGGTGGGTGCTCTGTGTGAGAAAGCAGTGGCAGTCGGCTTCCCTAAAGATTGCTCTGGAAACCCTGTGGGGCAGTTTCTACTCTGTCCTACAGGGCCTCTATGGGTTGGAATCTACTAGAAAGCAATGGATTTGGTTTTGTCTATGATTAGATAAAACATAGCTCCAATATTTTCCTTTCAATTTTTTTGATCAGAAAAATGTATTGCCTTTGAGTTAAGCGATTAGAGGTAAATACCTTATGAGTCAGAACTGACTTGACATTACTTAACAACATACATGGGGTGGAGGGTATTGCAGTCATGGTAATGAAGCAAAGTATATGATTTGTTGACTGTAAAACTGATGATTTGCTCTGTAAACCTTCACTTAATTCATAATAAAAAAAATATTTTTTTAAAGTTTAAAAATGTGTTGTCTTAAAGGACTACCAGCTTCTTTTACTTCTAAAATATTTGAGAATAAACAGAATAACTAATATAAAAAAAAAGTTAACTTGTGGTAGGCACAGGGAGGACAGTTTGGTTTTTGGGTGCTGCTTTGTTTTTCACATTTGTTAAAGTTGGTGGTGGTGTGCCGTGGAGTCAGTTCTGACTCACAGCAACCCTGAGTAGGATATCCAAGGCTGTAAATCTTTATGGGAGCAGAAAGCCTCATCTTTCTTCTCCTGCAGAATGGCTGGTAATTTCGAACCGCTGACCTTGTGGTTAGCAGCCCAACTCGTAACCACTGTGCTACCAGAGTGATGAAGTTATGTAAGTTAAATAGAAAATGAAAATTACTTTTCTTGGAAGTAGAAATACTCTTAAGTTGTAATGAATATGACATTCATGACCTGTAGGACAGAGTAAAGCTGCCCCATAGGTTTCCAAGGCTGTGATCTTTAAGGAATCAGACTGCCACATCTTTCTAACATTTGGTTACTAAGCAAAAGACTGTCGACCTTTTGCTTAGTAACCCAGTGTTTAACTGCTGTACCAGAGGGTTCCTATAAACATGATATGACCCCCCTTTTTTTTAAACAGATTTTTTGAGAAACAATTCAGTTATTTTGTAATCCACCCAATTCATTCATTTTAGTAAGTTTACGAAGTTCTTCAGCTGTCAGCTCAATTAGTTTTAGAACATTTCATCACCATAAAAAAGAAACCCTGTACCCGTTAGCAGTCATTTCCTATTTTCTCATAATCCCTCAGCCCGAGACAACAATCTGTTTCTGTCACCATGGATGTGCCTAATCTGTACATTTCAAATGGTACTGTATAATATGTGGTCTTTTGTGACCACTTATGTAACATTATAGTCTTAGTTGCATTATTTGTCTTTTAATTATTGAGTTATAAATTCTTTATATGTTCTGAATACAAGTCCCTTATTATTATTAGAGACATGATTTGCAAAACTTACTATGGCTATCATTTTACTCTCTTGATGGTGTCCTTGGAAACACAAAACATTTTTAATTTTAATGAATTTGAATTTATCTACTTTTTCTTTTGTTGTTTGTGCTATTGGTGTCATATCTAAATAGGTTTTGCATAACCCAAAGTCACCAAGGTTCATACCTATTTTTTCTAATAATTTTAGCTCTTAATGTTTCTGTCGCCCATTTTGAGTTATTTTTTTGTATGTATGATGTTAGGAAGAAGTCCAGCTTCATTCATTGTTACATGTGGAGATGCGATTGTTCCAGCACCGTTTGTTGAAGAGACTATTCTTCTTCTGCTGAATTGTGTTATAATCATTTTGAAAATTGATTATTTCTGTACTTTCTATTCCATTGATCATATGATCCACCATGCTGTTTTTGTTACTGTAGCTTTATATTAAATTTTGAAATTGAGAAGTATAAATTCTGTAGTCGATCTTTTTCAAGATTGTTTTAAGTATTTTGGATCTCTTGAATTTCCATATGGATTTTAGAATCAGTGTTAGTTTTTACAAAATTGTCAGCTGAAATTTTCATAGGGATTGTGCTGAATCTTACAGAACAATTTAGGGGAGTATTACCATCTTAACAATATTAATCTTTCTAATTTATGAACATAAAATACCTTTTCATTTATTAAGATCTTCTTTAATTTCTCTCAACAGTATTTTTAATTTTTAGTTTATAAGTCTTGTACTTTTTGTTAAATATATTCCTAAATATTTTACTCTTTTATGTTATTGCAAGTAGAATTAGTTTCTTAATTTTGTTTTTGGATTATACATTACAAGTGTATAGAAATACAATTGATTTTTATGTTGATCTTGTCATCTGTATCCTTGTAGAACTTGTTTATTCTTACTACTTTTTAGTGGATTTTGTAGGATTTTTCTACATGCAAGATAACATCATTTGCAAGTAGACACAGTGTTATGTTTTCCTTTGCTGTGTGTTGTTGTTGTTAAATTCCACTGAGTTGACTTCGACTCATCGTGACCCTCTATAGGGTTTCCAAGGAGCAGTGGGTTTAAACTGCCACCTTGCAGTTCAAACCAATCTTGTGGTCCAGTGCTTATGTTATAGCACCATACCAGGACTCCTATATAGATGCCTTTTATTTATTTTTCATGCCTAACTCCCCTGGCTAGTAACTCTAGTACTATGTTCAGTAGAAGTGTGAAGAATAGACAGACAATTCTTATTCCTGATTTCAGAGGGAAAGCCGTTCAGTCTTAAACCATGTATGATGTTACCTGTGGGGGGGGGGGAGGGCTTTGTGGATGCCCTTTATCAGGTTGAGGACGTTCCCTTCTATTCCTAATTTGCTGGTGTTTTTATCTTGAAAGAGTGTTGGATTTTTGTCAGATACTTTTTATGAAATAAATGACTTATAAAAATCGAGTCCTGGTGTGGTGCTGTGGATTAATGTGCCAGATGGCAAAGCCGTTTGAACTGCAAGGTTGGCAGTTCAAGCTCACCAGCTGCTCCTCGGAAACTCTATACAGGGTCGCTGTGGGTTGGAACCGACTCGATGGCACTTAACAACACAACAAAATTGACTATTTTTCCTGTTTTTCCTCTACAGAAATCGACTTGCATACTAAATGTGTGGTGGATGTAGACACAAACAAGGTTATTCTTCATCCTATGAATACTAATCTTTCCAAAGGAGATGCCCGGTAAGTTAAGAAACAATGTTTTTTGATCAATGCGTTTTTAAATGACTGAAAGCAAAAATTAACTACTGAGTTGAGTTCAAGTTAACAAATATTTATCAGTGCTTACTATGTGCTTTAGAGAATACCAAGAAAGTAGAGACAGATTGCTCTCTTATGAGTCTGTATTCAAGTTGAAGAGGTAAAGGTGAATAAGGTCTATCATATGGAATTACTAAGTACCAGAATGAGTGTTAGAGATAGTAATGGTATGATAAGCTCAGAGAAGAGCGTAGGCATTAGATTATGACGTAATTGAGGCAGGCTTCTTAAAGGAGGATTAGGTAAAATGTAACTGGGGAGAAGTGGCTCAGATGGGAAGGTGTTTAGATTGTTCCTTAGCGTGGATCGCTTTTCCTTCTCCAGCTGGTATCTGTCAGTCAGAGCCCATTTAAGTATTACCTTCCTCGTGAAGCATTCCTACAGCCCTCAGTGATTATTCTTCAATAAATACTGATACAGCTGGAATTTATACTACCAAATTTAATTATAGAGTTCCTGGGTGGTGCATATGTGCTCCACTGCTAACTAAAGGCTGGCAGTTTGAATTCACCTACAGTTGTGTTAAAAGAAAGGCCTGGTGATCTACTTCAGAAAAATCGACCATTGAAAACCCTGGGAGCCCCTGGGGCCACTGTGGGTCAGAATTGACTCGATGACAACTGGTAATTTAATTATATGTGTTTTGTTTTTTAAAATTATTGTGGTCAATTTATAGAACGTAAAACTTGCTGTTTTTAGCCATTTTAAGTGTACAGTTTGGTGGCGTTAATTCCATTCACCATGTTGGTTCCAACCACCATCATTTAAAAGCTGTTCATCACTCCAAATAGAAACTCTATACCAGTGGAGCAGTAACTCCCTATTCTCCCTTTGCCTCAGCCCCTGCTAACTTGTAATCATTCTGTCTTTAGAAATTTGCCTATTCTAATGGAATCATACCAAAAAAATCATAAAGTCAGGCTTCTTTTACTTTGATGCAGTGGTTAAAGCTCTTGACTGCTTACTGAAAGGCTGGCCTGTCATCTGCTCTGTGGGAGAAAGATGTCACAATCTGCTTCCATAAAGATTAAAAAAGGCCACGGAAACCCTAAGGGTCAGTTCTACTCTGTAGGATTACTATGAGGTGGAATAGACTTGATCGTAATGAGTTGTTTTTTAAATTATTGTATTTAGTTTAAGGTTTCAAGGTTCATCTATATTGTAGTATGTATTAGAACTTCATTTGTTTTATGGCCAAATTAATATTTCATTGTATGAGTATACAGAATTTTGTTCATTCATGTATTGATAAACACTTGGGTTATTTCTGGCTTTTGATTATTGTGGATAATATGCTGTGATTGTTGTACAAGTCGGCTTGAGTCTCTGCTTTCAGTTATTTTGGGTATACACCGAGGAGTGAAATTGCTGAGTTATATGGGGAGCCCTGGAGTGGCACTGTGGATAAGCATTAGGCTGCTACCTGCAAGGTTGGTGGTTCAATCCCACCAGCTGTTCCTCAGAAATCCTATACAGGTTCACTGTGTGTCAAAAACAACTAGACGGCACTTAAACAAAAAGTGATAATTTCAGGGTTAGCGTTTTGAGGAACTGCCAAATTGTTTTTCACGTTGGCTGCACCATTTAAAATTCCCACCAGCAATTTACTACTATCTTCACACTCTCAGTACTTATTTTTCTTTTTTAAAACTGTAGCCATTCTAGTGGATATGATTTGCGTTTCCCAAATGGCTAACAATCTTTTCATATATTTTTTTTATGATTGTTAGTGTTCTGTACATGTTCAAGTTTAGTGCTATTAGGAAATGGTGGCTGTTAGATATGTTGTTATTAGGGTATAAAGAGTATGTTGTTGTTTGGTGCTGTTGAGCCAATTTCAGTTTATAATGATCCTGTGTAAAGAGAGGAACTTCTCCATAGGATTTCCTAGGGTGTAGCATGGTGGACTCTGTGTTGGGCTACTAACCCACAAGGTTAGTAGTTCGAATCCACCAGCCGCTCTGTGGTAGATATAGGAGACTTTCTGCTACTGTAAAGATTTACAGCCTCAGAAACCCTACATAGGGCCATTGTGACTCAGAATTGGTTAAATGACAATTAGGTTTAATCTTTAAGGAAGTAGATCTTTTCTTTTGTGGACCCAGTAGGTGGGTTTGAATGTTAACCTTTTCTACAGCAACTCTGGTAGTGTAGTGGTTACGAATCGGCCTGCTAACCTCAAGGTCGGCAGTTGGAAACTACCAGAGGTTCTGCAGGAGAAAGATGTTCTGTTCCCTTAAAGATTTACAGCCTTGGAAACCCTGTGCAGGGTCACTGAGTCAGAACCGACTCCACGGCACATAACAGCAACAACATAGCAACTGAATGCTTAGCCATTGTGTCACCAGGGCTCAATGGATATGGTGTTAAATGCTATTGAGTCAGTTGTGGCTCATAGCAACCCCATATAGGGTTTCTGAGGAGCATATGGTAGGTTTGAACCACCAACCTTGCAGTTAGCAGTCCAGTGCTTATCCTCCAGTGCCACACCAGGACTCCATTGTACCACCAGGCTCAGAGGACATAGATGTGTCAAAAATGATGCTAGAATTTTGATTTTACTTTTTCCCTCCTCTTCTCTCTCACACTTTCTCAGATGTGCTTTTGTTATTGTGTACTTTTCATTGGATTCTGACTCATAGTGACCCTGTATGACAGAGGAGAAGCAGCCTATAGGACATCCTAGGCTGCAGTCTTAAGGGAACAGATTGTCAAGTCTTTCTCCCGTGAAGTGGCTGGTGGGTTCAAGCTGTGGGCTTAACCACTATGCCACCGGGACTCCTTGGTGTTGAGATTTTGAGCTTGGCTAATGGAATAAACTGTTGTCCTGAGTATTAATTAGAAAACATTAACTTTGGGGCTGTGTATTGTTTTTAGAATTTTCAATCTGGAGAATACTATTGCTGTATGTTTGATGGTGGCTAGCTGAACAAAGTTGGAGGCAATATCCTGAGGTGTAAGGAGTGCTACCATGAGTTAGAATTGATTTGACAACAGCTAACAACAATAAGCATGGTTATTTAGTTGTCTTCCTTATTTATAAAGTATTTGAGTTGTCTATTGCTGTATAACAAATACTCTTAATAAATACTTAATGGCTCAGAACAGCAGTAATCATTTGTGGTAACATGGGTTTTGTGGGTTAGGAATTCAGGGCATAGTAGAAATGGCTTCTCCGTGGTCCATGGGGCCTTAAAGAAACACTTGAAGTCTGGAGGCTGTAATTATGTGAATGCTCATTCACTCAGGCCTGGTAGTTGATGCTGCCAGTTGACAGGAAGCTTAGCTTGGGCGCTACTCACAATCTAGTGGCAGGGTCCCAAGAGCAAGCATCCTAGAGAGAGTGCCTCACCAAAGCAGTGTTTCTTTTTGTGTCCTAACCTTGGAAGTGAAGTCTTTGGGTTGTGCAAATGTTGACATGCTTGGCTGCTAACCAAAAGACTGCAGGTTCAAGTTCACTTAGAGGTATCTTGGAAGAATGGCCTGGTTCTTTTGCAGAATATACTGAGTAATGCTATTGTGGGGAGGGCCTGATGACAGTACTTGCTTTGCATTGTGTAAAGCCAATTTCAGAGTAATTCCTTGTTAATGGAAGTCATCATTGGGTCATATTAGATAATGACTTTTTACATTTCTCTACTACTATGTGGATACTAATTTAAAGATTTTAATTGAAGAAAATCATGCAAAATGTAATTATGGTATGCACAGTAGCCCTGTTTGTTCTTTGTACTGTGAAATGACTTGAATGAGGCTAATTCTGCCCAAATAGAATCAACTCCTCTAGAGAATAATACATGGAATGTTTTAATTTCATAAAGAGGCTATTCCTAGGGGAGCCTGTCAATCCTGATAATGTCAGCATGAGACGGGAGACCACTGTCCTTTGTATTGACAAGTTTTAGATGGCCCCCTCCTTTTGCGGGGGAAAAAAAAAATACGATGACCATTGAGTTTTATAAGCCATTTACTACTTTTAAATATGCTGTAATCATGAAAGTGAATCAGAGAGACCCTTATAAACTAAAAAGATAGTAAAATATGTATGGTTAAATGCTTCTTATTGCAGTTAATAATAGAAGACAATAAAATATCAGTAAATACAGATGGTGCAGTTTACCAGCAAAGGCTAGCAGATTTCTAAAATGGACTGTTTGATAACTGATTAGTAAACCTATGTGAACAAATGATCATCGATTGTACTGTATAGTTTATGATATTTTAATGGTTTTCACTGGATATATAAATTTTATCTTGTACACACTTGCATTGCTCTTATAGGTATGGCAGTTGTTGTTTGGTTATGTGCCTTGGAGTCGGTTCCGACTCATAATCACCCTCTACAGGGTTTCTGAGGCTGTAAATCTTTATGGGAACAGAAAACCTCATTTTTCTCCCGTGGAACAGCTGGTAGTTTCCAACTGCTAACCTTGTGGTTCGCAGCCTATTTCGTAATCACTACACTACCAGAGCTCCTAGGTACAGCAGTAGGGAAGAATAAACTTTTCTTTATTTTTTAATACAAGAGAAGAGAGTTTCTTTACAACCAGGCTTGAAGTACTACTTGGATCTAAAACAACATCATTTAATATAATGAGGACTCAGGCTTATGCATGTATGATAAATAACTTGGTTAAGATAAAGCTAGTAGGAACTAGATGTTTTAAATTTCCCTGGAATTCAGAATTCAGCATAAAATGATCATAGAGTTTATGATTTGTTAGATTAAGAGATCAAATTATGAAAATAATTTAGATAAATACCAACTTCTGCTATTGGAATTTAAAAAATTATTTTGCCTTATTAATTATTTTGGCAATGATAATAGTCAAGTTCTAATCATCAAGCCATCCAAGCTAGGTCAAATGGGTACTATCCATTTTTCTGGGCTCTTGTTTCAATCTCTAGGGTAGGAGTTTTGG